ATTTTTTGCTTTAAAATAAAGATCTTCATTTTCTGTTCTAACAAATTTAAAGTAATTAGTAATTAAGTAAGTAATCTTTTATGTTTATTTTTGCGACTCTTCTACATTTAATCTGTCTTTGTGCTGTGGTCAGCTCGGCCCAGAGAGGCCCGATTATATTAAGTATTTCCTTGACTACACTTCTCATCAGAAAGCTTTGTAATGCTGTGTCTATCACACTATTCTGGTGATCATACATTTACACTACAAAATCTAGACTTGCCTAGCTGCGTGCATATAAAAAATACAATTTTTTGGAGGGCAATGTTTTTCATTTTTCATCTTAGAAATCTTCTGTACAATCTATTCTTTTGGCTTACTCGAAACTTTATCTGTACTCTTGACCAATCACACAAGTGGCATATTTCCTGCATATTCACTTTTTCAAACCATGCTTAATCAGGAATCACTGAAAACCAAGAAAAGCTCATGAACGCTCATGAATTTTCGACACTAACTCTCCTAAATCCTAGACCCAAATTTAGATTTTCGGGATCTTTTGAAACGGATGTCCTGTGCAGCTATACTTACTTCCACATCCTTTTGAGCACCGAAGTTCATACTTGTAAAGGAAGCCTTTCCGTCAATTAAGCAAAATTAGACCCTAGCATTTTCACAAACTTTCTGAGCATGTGGCTTGCTGTATTTGGAAAGATATGGTAAAAATTTTGTTTCAAAGCTCAATTTAACCTCAACAATTTTGTATAACTGTTTATGTCAGTGTGCCCAAACTCAAACGGCCACTTGCACATAAAGATATTGACAGTTGTATTATAAGATAGCCCATTTATTATTATGTCATGGCCCGATGAGGATGAATTCTAAAGTCACGATCTCAAGAGTCTACATAGTATTATAGTGTAGAAGCAACCTTATGCTAGTCTTCATCTGTCTAGAGCTTGGTGGAATTGCAGATTCAGTTAAGGTGTCGGTGTCTTCTCACTCACGCCTGTTTGAGTAATCCAAGAATAGATGCCTTTTATTTTATCTATTCAGTCAAGCACTGACATATACTTAAGCTATAAGAGATTAATTGTTCAGGAGGAGAATAAAGATAGAACACAGGTGTTTATCTGACACTTTGAGGGATTCTGCGATGTGTCATGGTTGGAGGACCTGGGTGTACAATGAACTCTAGACCTCTTTATATTCGCGACTGTTACTTGAGGATGAATTAGCGTTTTTACCCGGTTCCCTGGTGTTGCTTTGCAGCTTCTTCTCCGGAGAGCACTCATGTAGTCCCCTGACGTGCAAACATTGCGATGCCGTTTGCTGATGCGATCCAGTCGAGAAAAATTGGTCAAATTTCCCAGACGCTCCCATCTCCTCACCGGCAGTGACAAACCTCATCCCGACGTCCTTGCCTTCTCTTCTCTCTCCTCCATCCTGTGCATAGCCACCGCCTCTTTCTGTATATCCGGTCAGCAGGGCCAATGATACCGGTTGCCCTGGGCGGTCGAGCATCCAGCTGGCCACAGGTCGTCTAGGCTCTCCTACCGTCAGCGTCGGCCCGGAGACGGGAGTGGGAGGCGAGCGCAAAGTAGCACAAAAGTAGGAGGCTGACGTGTTTTCTGACGAGGCAGAGGCGGCATTTGCACCTGGCACCGCGGAGACTGCGTCCACCTCCTTCTGTCCTGCATAACAGCCATCACTGAGCTCGGCTCCAGCTTGAAGGAGGCTGTTGAGGTGAGTGGTACTGCCTCCAGGACCGGGGCTAGCGAAATAGCTGCTGCTGTGGCTGTCACTGCTTGTACTGGCCACCTCACCGGCCAGTCGTCGGCCATAGGCTGCCGCGACCCCAGAGCCCAGCGTGGACGGCAGGAGACGTGGCGAAGGGAGGAAGCTGATGCTGGGCAATCCGATGGCAGTGTCGGGATAGAACTCATTCACGTTGATGGCCTGGCAGGGCAGGCTTAGCGACATATTTGCCACAGGCGTCTGTCAACAAGCATAGGGTTTTATTAAAAGGGCTTGCATGGTCTATAGAATATACTCTCATCCAATGATCACTGGGAGTCTTCGTGTGCATCATCTTCTCTATATTTGGTAAAAATGTCTTTGTCAGCAACAAATATCAACAGCATCTTGAGGCCTACCAATTTATTTATTATATCACAGTTAGTAGCATAGTAGCTTTAATTCAAAAAGTACAAAAATTATTGAAAGCTTCTCGCATTGAAATAAAGAAAAGCCATCAATTCTAATGACAAAATAAATAATTATATTCTGATTGAGTAAGTTTAAAACGGACAGTATATTCTGTATGTATCTTAGGTGATGAAGAATTGGTAATTGAATCCTCCCACGATGTCATAAATTGGGCCTAGAATAATGTCCAATTTCACATGGCTTCCTCTCCTGAAAGCAATTCTCATTCAAGATAAACTTCATTGTGGCATTATGTTAACATGTAGAAAGTATACTCATCACCAGCCGGACTCGATTCTTTTTGGGTTTGCTGGCGAGGTCCAAACTACCATTCAGTCTAGATGAGAATACAAAGAGAGACTGGGTTCCGATAAATATCCTGAGATAACATTGTTGGGAGGACTTTCATTTCGTATGAAAGTGCATGAATAAGGGATTCCTAGGTCGATCTCACCAGATGAGGACGGCTGAATCGCGTTGTACTGCAGCCGTTTGGCTTTGATACGAAATTCAGGTTGACGCAGTCCACAAGACCGCCCCGTTCGTTTCGGGTGAAAACGGGCTGAGCTCTTGTCCATCATATGATCGACCTACGAATCTCTTCTTCATGCACTTTCATACGAAATAAAAATCTCCCCAGCATAAATGCTAATAGTTTTCAAGAAGAAAGGCTATAGGAAATTCAAAGGCATCATGAGACCTACTCATATGATTATGGAAAATTCTACCATCAGTTCTTCATCTTAGGCGACCTAAGATGAATACAGCTTCTAGTAAACGTACAACTTTGCCTTATCAATAATCCACCTATAACTGTGATACAGAAGTCATTTAACATAAATCTAAGATCATATCCCCACTGGATGTTTATGTATTGGCAATGCATGTTCAGTATCGAATATAATTGGGGATGCGGATGAAACCTAGATGAGGCCGAGACTTCAGTCCAATCTGAAAGAGTCAGGGTTAGGTAGATCCCATTGAAATCGGGAGGCTTACTTATATAATTGTGGGAAAATTTAACCATCCGTCATTAAATTGGCCTAAATGA